GGGAAATGCTAAAAATGGAAATTTATTAAGACAGAAATCAATCCCATAAGCTCTCCTTTCATGGAGCGATTCACATTTTGCCATTTTTACAGCAGAAAATGCAAAAACGAACAGTATTCAAGATGGCAAAATATACATAAAGTTGAATAAAGCATGAAATAAGTTTTTGTATTTTGAAATATTCAAGTAAAAGGTTGTGTTGGAATTCAATGAACTCTCGAAAAAGTATTGATAGGACATTAAATGCACCATCTAATCATATAAAGCACTTTAATTTGCAATTTTCTAGTCACATATAACAGGAGAAAGACATTGCACAATAGCTGTTTCATTTAGCTAATTTCTCCTTGCATTAATGCATTTCAATATTATGAAGAATAATCACTCCTGAAGCTATAACATCCCTGGTGAACCTAAATGATACTTTCACACCAGCTTTGGCTGACATCTAGTGGTTGTTTAGTAGACTGAATCCTGTTGATTAGTGTATAATGCCATCATTCTCGAACCACCATATTAATGTATTAAAGTAATTCATGCTCACTGTAATATGTGTACAAATATCAGTTATTATATGATTACGTTTGCCTCAGCACAAGAGCTCATAAACCTGAATTTATGGACAGGATGTTGATAAAAATGCTGTTAATGCATTAAATGATTTAGTCCTGGTTGGAAATGAGGCTAAGAACTTCTCAGTGCTGAGATAATGGAAGGGTGTTGAGTACGCTTGACTTTGATTATAGAATACAAATCCAGTTGAGCCTACCCTTTGTAAGAGTTAGGCTTCAACTCTACTCTTTGTATTTGTGATGATTCTTTGATATATATTCAATTAGAAAAAAATAAAGTCAGAAAAATGGTGAAACTACATGGTCTGCCTATAGATAAAGAACTAACATTTATTTAAATAATTCTTGAAAAAAGTCCAAAAAATTACATCATCTGCCAAAGTCAAGGTAGTGTGACTAGTCTTTAGCGATTCAGGATATATAATAAGTTGAGTCTAGTGCCTGGCTAAAATGCCCCATTTTGGCTCCTCATTGATTTATATGGGCCAGTGACCCAATTGATTGCCCATGTTTTCTGCAGGCTTTGTTCTAGACTGACTTGTAGTTAGACAATTGGTGTCTGCTTACAAGGAAAAAGATTTAGTATAATAATTCAATTATGTCAATCTTAATTTTCAAGACTACAAAACATGGAGGGAAACACTGGAGGAAACCCCAAATTACAAAACCAGCCAAACTAATACCTTAAGTGCAGATGCTCTCATTCACTTAGAACTCTTGAATAGGGTATATCATTAAAATATATCAACACAAAGAACATATCCTAAACACCATTGAATAATAAACATGAATTACATGAATACGGAATTATTTCCTTGTTTATGTATGACTTTTATTTTAAAGAATTGTTGAATAAGGAAAGCCTGATAATAACATCTGGTTAGAGGAATATTTTGAAAACCATGTTATGTTTAAAAATTAGTATCAACCACTGAATTATCAACAATAACATCTGATTGATCAATTATCTTGCGATCAATAAACACTATATCACTGAGTTGAACTTGCAGCCGACGTCTGCATGAAAGTCAGATTTCCCATAATTTCTCAGAAAAACTTGGAAGAAGTTGCTCATTTTATTCTGTATTTTAATAGCTTGATATGTGAACTTGATGTCAGTTCATCCTTATTTGTCTTATTTCTTTGTGGGCATAAAACAATGAAAAAGTGCATGACATTTGTCATTTTTTCTAAAGGGCGGAGTAAGCTATCAATGAATTCAAAGTGATTATAAACTGTAATCAGCACATACAGACTGTATAAATAAATTGACAAGAAAATGCTCTTAATAAATAAAGAAATATACTAGATAATGAAAGCATGATAAAGGAATAGCAATTAGCTCTAAAGCAGATGTTAGCCTAGGAATCCTAACCCCTATACAAATATGGATGGTATCATTTATATATAAATACATTGGAAATAAAAACATGGCAAATAGAACTTGATTGAACATCATCAATCTATTAACCCAGATTGACCAATCAGGATTAAGGATTAAACCACTTTGGGAGTATGATGTATTATGGGATTGACTTACACACCTTTTGATGATCTCCAAGGTCCTGTTACTACAGGTGAATATTAAAAATTAGGTAAATAAAAGTATGTGATACTGGATATATAAAAATGACACTGAGAAACATCAGTTCACCTAGCATTGAGTGAAAGGTCCAATATGAAAAGGTGAAAGGCCTAATATCAAAAAGTGAAAAGCTTATATGAAAGTGAAAAGCCTGATATAAAAAAGATTAAAGGTCCAGTATTGAAAAGATCAGAAAGAAATATGTAAGCGAAGATGCTCATCTCAGAGTAACTCAGGTACCTTTATATTATATATGCACACATGTTGAACATACGCTGTATCTTTTTTTAAGCATATGTTCCCTTCTAATTTTTTCTAATAAGATATACCAATTCATTACATTAAGAAATTTCTTCAAGCTTTTAAGGGAATGATACATGATGGATTTTGAAATATGTCTTGAGATGATTTGGAAGAGTTTTCACCTCCAAGACTACACTAATTGGTAAAGATCAGTACAGTTCTATATGTTTACATCTGGTGAAGAATCAGAAATCTAAACCTCTCCTTAACCCATAGCCTCCCATCAACCTAAGCCATTCCCTTGGATTAATCCTAGATGTGTTTATGACTGGGAATCTGTTACTTTGAGCAGACTAAGTCCATTTGCAAATAAATTGTGAGAGAGTTGGTAGCAAACATTTGTATAACTTGCACAGGGGTTGGTATCCACTTGATAGGGGTATAAACTGGCAAGTTTGTAGCTGTGTTTTACCTGGCATTCTGTTAATCTCTGGATTAAATTCCGAAATGTTGTAAATTGAACGCTTTAATAACGTGAAATCATCAGGGATTATACGCTGTTTAACGGAGTATTGGCTTCAGCTTCAGTACCCCTGTGGGATAACAGGTATGTTGCTGTTAAATGAACCAAAGTGCTATTCTCATTGAATTTCTATTGAAAGAACAATATTTTACTATGTTTATTTTGTGGAGTTGTTAATACAACAAACTATTGGAGAGTCTGTTTCTACATGAGGAATCTATTGAACTATCAACTTACTTATTGAATATCCTGTAGGTTTAGCAAGTTCAATGATTTGAAGAAATCACAATTGAAAGTATATATATCATATGTCAATTCGTTTATCAATATTGAACTCAACTTTTCGAGCTCATGAATTTGTGTATATTACAATTGATATGCTAAGAGTTTCTATAGCTTTATGCCTACATTTATAGTATCCATTCAAGTTACTGAGCTTGATATCAATAGAAATTCTTTACATTTGGCAAATAGGTTTAGATAAAAAAAGGTTCTTTAACATGATCCATAGTATATTTATTAAACAGTCATTTTAACACAGTTTGAATTTATAAAGTATGGCACGTGTATAGGTGAGAAAATATTTCAATTTCAATTGATTTTTTGTTGTATATTGTAATTTCAAAAGATTTAGGAAAAGTCATGATTAATGATTGTAAATGGAGGATTCTTGCATTTAGACACTTGAAGAATTAGATTTGTTTTTGAAGTAAGATTTTTAGAAGGAAATCAGACAACTGAATTTTTTGATCTTTTATTTGAGATGAGTATGTTTTGGTTTGATATTTGATTCCTGTATTGTGTTCTGTGTCATTGTCAAAAATAATGATGTATCACTGTGGATGATTAATATGTAATATACATGCAAGGAAGAGTAGAAAAGTGATTAATTAAAGAATTGGCTCAGGTACTAATATCATCATTAAATATGTCCTTTCATTTCTTGTGATCAGATTCTGAATATAGGTATGTACACATGTACTCTAATGTTGATAAAATATATTACAGTCTGGAGCATAAACTCAAGGAAACTGAGCTATTTCTTGTACCTGTTCATTTCACTGAATGATTGAATAATTAACAATTAAAGGAAGACATGCATTAGAAATAAACAGTGTTCATCTTGATACTTACTACAAAATGTATCATGGCTGGGTGTAAAGATAATATATCTAGTATGCCCATGCTAGATACGGAAGGTTTTCAAGGTAATCAAAGAAAAATATTTTTGAAATTGGTTTCCATGCTTATGTAGGAAAAATTTTCAGCCCATTAACCTAAACTTTTATGTCAACACCACAAGTACTTTATATATTTTTTGCAACAAGGTAGTGACATTTTGTCTTTATCTAACGAATAAGGCCTATTTTATGTCACCGCCGCAAGTGGTGACATATTGTTATGGTCTCTAACTTTTTTATGAAATTGTTCAGTGTTGTTGGCATTCGAAATTCAGAGATGAGAGTCTGGCATTTGGCATCTGTAACAAATGGCAAATGTTGACATTTTACATGTTAATGCCTCATTGAAACTGATGTCTAATTTTAGGGCCAATATAGAAAAATTGGAAAGCTTGAAGCTTTGATAAAAGTAGTTTGAAAAAGGGCATACATTTATCCCCTCATTCATAAAATAGTATGAGAAGAGTAGTAATGAAATTTCTTGATGTATCAACATTAAGATGATTGAAAGTGTTTGGAAGAAATGTTCCTTTCAATTAGTTCATATTGTCGAATATTATGAGGTCTTTTTGAAGGCAGGTGATTGTAATTGAATAGCTTTTAAAGAACATTTTTTTATTTTTGTTTGGGTGGATATTAAATTTCTGTGATCCTATCATAAACATTTGTATTAGTATTTTGTATTAAATATTTTGTGGAGCAATGAAAGAAATATTTGTCTATGAAACTTAAAGCAGGATCTACATGCAAGATACATATATAATCTAATAATTTAACGAAAAAACAGCAAATCTTATTTCTGACACTTGAATTTCTGATACCTTAAATTAACTGAAACAAAGTACCATTTTTTATTTAAATAATTTATGTAATGATATTTTATTGTATATTTGCAGACGGGAGTTTCCAACTGATATCCCATGATGCCTTAGGCACCACAGACCCATCTATCAATGAAAAATGAATGACGTTGATCGTCACATTCAGCAGACCATTGACAGATTACTATGTATTAAACAGGTAAGTCAGACAATTAAGAGATTCCAGTATATTAGATAAGTAAATCAAAATAGACCAATGACAGATTACTATGTATTTAATAGGTAAGTCAGACCAATGACAGATTACTATGTATTAAATAGGTTAGTCAGACCATTGACAGATTTATAAGTCAGACCAATGAAAGATTATTATGTGTTAAATAGGTAGGTCAGACCATTGACAGATTACTAAGTCAAACCATTGACAGATTACTATGTATTAGATAGGTAAGTCAGACCATTGACAAATTACTCTGTATTGAATAGGTAGGTCAGACCATTTACAGATTACTAAGTCAGACCATTGACAGATTACTATGTATTAAATAGGGAAGTCAGACCATTGACAGATCACTAAGTAAAACCATTGACAAATTACTTGGTCAGACCATTGACAGATTACTCTGTATTAGATAGGTAAGTCAGACCATTTACAAATTACTCTGTATTGAATAGGTAGGTCAGACCATTTACAGATTACTAAGTCAGACCATTGACAGATTACTATGTATTAAATAGGTTAGACCAGATTAACCCTTGCTCTTCATAGTGGAAATCATGGGCCATTGTAATGGTATTACACTAAATGTGCTGATTCTAAGTTTTGTAAATAAGTGATGTTATGCCATGAAATTTCATCTCATTCTAGAACAATTCATTCTGTAAGAGTCGTAATAATTATTTTTTTGCTTTGGGTCTTGAGAACTACTGTATTTATATAAGTATAGGAGGTTAAAGTAAGGTTCCCAATACTGAAAATATCAGAATCTAAAAAATCTAAAAGGCGTAACACCCTGTAGTTTAGTCTGAATCTGGAAGGAAAAGTTCATGTACAATTTTATTTTTATTGGGAAGTATCATTCATGTTATTTGCTTCACTATCATTCATCTCAACTACAATAATTTGTGAAAAAATGGAGTCATCGTTTTTGAACACCCTGTATATCGATGCACTAGCAATAATTATAAATTTGCAAATCCAGATCAACTTGTAATTTTCTTCTCATTAATTTGTAAAAATTCCAAGGTGATTATTATAAGTTATTCAACATTTAGTTACCCCAAAAGTGCTAATTAGTTTGTAGAGTAGTATGTGCCAAAGAAAGTTAGAGACATGTCATTAAAACTGAACAGCACTTTGATATTGAGGAAGAATAAATTACTTAAAGGGCTATTCTATTAAAACTAGGCAGAGTATTGAAAAACACAAGGGATATTTGGGTTAAAGGGACATATTACTAGAACTAAATAGCCCTTTGAATATTTATGTCAAGGTTCTATAATGTCACCACCACAAGTGGTGACATATTGTTATAGTCTCCAACATTTTTGTGCTTGGTGCTTGGCATCTGTAACAATTGGCAGGTGGTGACATTTTGCATGTTCATGAAAACCTATCAGAATTGCATAGTTCAAGGCCATTCCTTTCTCAATAGTAGATTTATGACTTAATATATTTAACATTATTTAACAGTATATCAAATTGAAGGTAAATATTTAACTGTGGTATTTGATCTTACTTAAATATATATTTGTATCAAGAAAGTTAAATTCAAAGAATCTTGTATTTGTTCGGTATCTTGTTGAGTAGTGTACCCTATTTGTTTAACCTTGATCTAACTCGAAGGTAAAGTCTCAGGAAAAACATAGTCATATGTGTATAGAATTTAAGACCAATAAAGACAATCAGCAACATAGAAACACAAAACTTTCTTCAAAGGATTCAAATGGTTTAATCTTTAGTGGTTTCAAATATTGTCATAAAATATACAATCTTGAATCGATTACATTTTGTTTATTGATTTGCTAATCCATCGGGTTGCTGTTTTCTAGATATATTATATCGAAATTAATTTTTTTATGATAAAAATGATATTAATTTACAAATATCTCCATATATTTTATGTCCCAAGTTCAACATCTGTCAGAAATGCTAAAAAATGAACCTGAACGATTTGAAAAATCACCAGGTTATAATGGTGTTATTAATGTTGAACAGTTTTACTCTTTCGTGATTTATTACATTGTTTAGTTATAAAGCTGTCTGTAAACAGAGAAGGCAAATATCAGATATTTCCAGTGATCAATACTCTATCAACAAACTCATATATGAGATTCAATTAATAGTCCTTGTTTCTCCCATTAAACCTGAAACAGAACTAAATGTATATGATATGTATCAAATCAATTCAATTGTCTTACATCATCATGAAATCATAAACATGGAGCTGACAAGTATTGCTGATACATCCAAGTAAGAATTTATGGTGATAAATTTAAAAGCTGTTCAGTTTTAAATGAATTGACATAGTATGTATCTGTCTAGATTTTTAGTTAATCCTTTTCATGTATTTTACCTTAAGGGATTGGGTCAACATAATGTGTTCTGTTAAAAAGACTTTGTGTATATTTGGAGGGTGGTCGGGGATAGAAAACAACAATTTATTTTGTGTTTATAGCATAGAATTCTTGTATACCCAGGGTCCACCTTTTACACTCCAAATTGTTGTTAGATACACTTGTTACTGAAAATTATATTTATAATATTATATAGATTTTCTCCATGGGAGTAGAACAGTTTCTGTCAAAATCCTTGAATCTATCCCCCCATTCCTGCTGAATGTTTATGAATTTCTTGCCTTTTCACACCTTATTGAATATGGAATGAAAACGTAATGTTCAAATTATGAGATAAAAGGCTTAATTCTATTACAATTCTTATCTTGGATCAATTAACTTAAGATTTCCTTATAAAAATGTTCTTTGTAAATCATGATTGGCAACATTGAAGTTACAACTTTAGTGTAAAATGATCATTATTTGAACATGAAATGATTGTTTGAATATAAGGTATAGTTAGTTCAAGCTATGTATATCAGAGTTTTGAATGTTCATTCAATCCTTCTTATAGGCATTGGTTGCATTTTACAGTTAAAGCTTGACTGTAAACATATATTTTAACTTTGAGATAATATGTACAATCAAAGCTAATGTTATACGCAGCATTTTGATCTGAAAACTAAAGTTTGAATTTTCAATGAAATGTTACACTCTAAGTTTGAATGTTCAGTCTAATCCTGAATATACAGTTTTAAGTTTGAATGTTCAATCTAAGCTTGTATGTTTAGTTGAAGCTTGAATATACAGTCTAAGCTTGAATGTTTAGTTTAAGTTTGAATGTGCAGTTAAAGCTTGAATGTACTGTTAAAGTGTTATGTGACAGTTTAGGTTGCAATGTTTGTGTTATTTGCAGATATTATGGACCAATATATAGGACAGACTCGAGATAGATTACAATGTATAAAGCAGGTATATTGAATGAAAAATAACTATATAACTACTTTCTCTTATATCTCTAGATTAGTTATAGTTCTACCAGAATCAACCTTGATAATACATAGCTTCTTTATTGTACCAGTTTTCGTGAGAATCTATTCAAGAGTCAAAATTCCAAAATTGAGAGACAAAAAATAAAATCTTGAAAAATCTTTAAGGAGGAGGGAGTAATGGCAAAGTCTTATGGGAGATTTTGTCAACCCCCAAAATGTCAGCATATACAATATGAGAGAAAATATTTTTGAAATATGCCAATTCCATTAAGTATATAATAGAACCTATTTGTATATGTGAATTGTCACATATATATATGATTTTTTGCAGAATTTAGTGAGGCAATTAAACAAGATATAAACATTTATACAACATATTTGATTCTGGTACTATACTACAAGAGATTATATGAGAAAAACCTTAACCAAGTCTAACTCGGGCTCCCGATTTAGAGCAAAACATTTTACACATATTTATTCATGTGATTATTTTAGAAATTATTTTAATTATTTTAATCAAATATTATGAATTCAAATCTGTGCATGCTTTGTTTCTTTGTTAATTTTGCTAATTTTTCTTTTATTAGTTAGTTTTGCTCTAAATATGATGTAACTACATGTATGCCCAGAGACTAATATAAAACATATAACCTGCTTTGTATATAATATAGTTATAATAACTTTAATTTAATTTGATGTAATACAATTTCCTGTTTTGCTACACTACATGTATATTGTCACGATGATAAACCATTAAATCTCATTTCAACTCAACCTGGTGAAACTGAAAGATGCTATAAGTATCAGAATGGTATACATAATTGCAATAAAGGATAAAGCATTACAGTGTGTTCCAATAAGGAACGCTTCCATCATTTACTGCAATTATGTAACATAGTGAAAATGTATACAGTTATGCAATGTTGGATAATATTGCAATGTTGTATGATACAATAATGCAATGCTTACAGTACTATATAATATAGTGATGTAATGTATGGTCTGGTTACAATATAATGCAATACCAAAACCAAGTCTTATACTAGTATATTTCACCATGTTATTATGATCTATTACAATTTGCAATATATATTACATATACAGTAAATCATGTTTGTATTCTACATTAAAACATGTTTGTATTCTACAGTAAAACATGTTTGTATTCTACAGTAAAACATGTTTGTATTCTACAGTAAAACATGTTTGTATTATACCTTACAATGGGATTGACAGTGACAATCTTGAAAAGATGCGAGGAATGTATCTCTCCAAACTCCAAGCTTACCAGTTTGATTTGAAGCTTCATACCTTAGAAATTCAAGCTGTGGCATATATGGATATTGTAAACATGTAGCTGAGAATATATGTGTGATTGCTTAACTGTAGTATAATTAATGTGTAGTACTTAACATGGTAGAGTAATCCAATACATTAATCCCCACCTACTCTACAACGAATTCATTTATGAATGAAATTGCATTGTTCTTTTGTCTTTCATCGTTTCTAGATGCGTAATTACTTATTTGCTCTCATTTTCAAGTTCTGTGTATTAAGAGCATGTGCTGGGAAGGAAACGCAGATTACTCCAGATGACATCTTCTAGTTTATTATAGAGGGAGGGGTTTTTATAATGAAGGGTGGGAAGGATGGGAAACAGGAGGTGAAAAGTTGCAAAGTATAAACTTTACCCCATCCTATCATGAGTTTGCTCATGGTAGCATTGACTCAATGAGGGTCGACCACCAGGCTCAGAACAAGCGGTTTGAAACGTTTATGGGGCCTCATTGGCTAACATGTGTAGACCCTCCCATTAGATATGATACCCTGAGGATGCTAGAGAATGAAATCTTGATGGAGCCTCTAAATATGATCAATGACCTCCTAGTAGTATATAACACTTCGAAACTAATGTTTCTACATATCCCGTTCATAGTTGATTTAGTCTTTTTACATCTTAGTGCAGGATGTTTTCATGTCAAAACAACTCCTATCCTGACTTAATCTTCATTGTGTGAAAAGGTTATAGAATATATCAACCTGTTTTGTAAAGTATATATGACGTCATTGTTTCATCAATTGCTATGAGGGGTCGAGTCAAAGAACGTGTTGTAGGGAATGCTGATACAAGATTGTACAGAAAAGAAGCAGTTGTGGAAAACTTAAACGATAAATGATATAGAGAAAAAAGAGGGGCTAAAAATTAAATATTAAACAATATGATTGAAATGAGATTAAGAGATGAAATATGGCCAAGCTACCATCATATCATATTTATACTATTAAATTACTTGGTTCTTTTGAAATTAAAAACAAATCCTGCTTAAACAGAGAATAAACTGTAGAGAAGGGACCTTACTATCATTATGATACAATAATTTTTAATGTACTTTTGAAATGTGTGGTTTTCCTGTTCCAGCACTTGGGGACACCAACAGGCTTCCAGAATGCTGCGCGTGAATTACTAGAGTGGTGTTCTGATACTCGTGCCTTCCAACGTCCATTTGAACAGGCTCTAATATCTTGCCTCACAGTAAGTAATCTTTATTGATTACCTCATTTATTTATGTAATATGCTTTATGTGAACCTCATTTATATATGTTTCATGTGTACCTCATGTGTATATATATCCGGTGTATGTGTCCATATATACTTAGCTTTTGCGTGTATGTGTTATGTGAACCTTGTGTATGTGTACCTCTTATATATGTGAACCATATGTAATTGAACCTCACATATCTGAACTTATATATATGCATCTCTTATACATGAACCTTATGTATGTGCACCTCATTTATGTGAACCTTATATATGTACACCTCATATATGTGAACCTTATGTATATATACCTCATATATGTGAACCTTATGTATGTGCACCTCATATATGTGAACCTTATGTATGTACACCTCATATATGTGAACCTTATGTATGTACACCTCATATATGTGAACCTTATGTATGTGCACCTCATATATGTGAACCTTATGTATGTACACCTCATATATGTGAACCTTATGTATGTGCACCTCATATATGTGAACCTTATGTATGTACACCTCATATATGTGAACCTTATATATATGCACCTCATATATGTGAGCCTTATGTAATTGTACCTCACATATGTAAACCTTATGCAATGTGTACCTCTTATATGTGCACCTGTATGTTTACCTCACATATGTATATATCATGAATATGTACCTCAGTGTGTGGAGTTTTACTTCATGATTATTAAATCCACTTAAGTAGTATAAACCATGTTTTTGTACTTCATGAATGTAAACTTCACGAAAATGAAGCAAATGAATATTCCTAATGAACATTTATCTCATGTGTATATACATATACACCGCACGTATGTTTACCTCATGTGTAAACCCTAAGTTTAGTGTACCTCATATTCCCAATGAAAACAGAAACATGGATTTGTTTGGAGAAGGCTATAATATCATAGTGTCTGAATTTTAAACAGTTACCATTGAGTTATTATTTACACCTGACACACAAATAACTTGCAAGTTCAAGATTTTCTGCTACAAGGTTTACTGCATAACAGGCATTAGGTGGGTAATACATGAAAGTTAACAATTAGTTGTGAGTTTGGTAACATGGTTGTACTATGACTTGATTATTAATGCCTAATGCCTGGGTCACATTAGCTGCGATTCATCGGCCGGCGCCCGGCCGATTGAGTATTCTGTTAAAACTGAATACATTTGTGAACAGGATACTCAATCGGCCGGGTGCCGGCCGATGAATCGGAGCAAATGTGACCCACGCATTAGTTACATTTGCTGGTCAATGTTGTGTCTGATATTTTTATGGCCAGTAGCAATTTTGGAATAGTCACAGTATTTCCAAAGTCACATGTCCTTCAGTAGTCATATAATCGTATGTTAGGGTATGACTTTTGAAAAGGCAGTACAGTGAAACCTGTAAAGTGGAATACCTCTAGAAGTAGAACACCTCTGTTAGTGGAACACTAAGTCCCAAGACCAAGTGACTTAATGTTAAATAAACCTCTATAAGTGAAACACCTCCTAAGTGGAACACTTTTAGAAGTACCAAAGGTGTTCCACTTAGGAAGGTTTTACTGTACTCTATAGGCATTATATGATCAATGCACTCTTCAAAATAATAGCCAAATCTAGATGCTCAATATATACTAGTCTACCTTCTACTATTTTTATAACCTTTTCAGCAGACGGCAGCTTGTATTTTGACGATTATTGATAGCCTTTATGAAAAATTGGTATAAAATACCTGTTTTTAACAGTGCTTTTTTCGCAGATTCATTTCAGTTTCATTTGGACTTGGTGATATTTGTTACATGATCATAGGAATGCTTAATTTTATTAATAGAGGAAGATTAGAAAAATATGCCTTCTTAAAATAACTTTTGAGTTTAAAGGTTGTGAATTGATTTGAATTTAATATAACGTTTTTTTTATAAGATAAGGTGTGAAATGTATTATTGCTTGTTTTTAGACTTTATAGCTCAAGATGCGTTAAGATAACTTTAACATTGGACTTCGTATCTGTTGTTGAGGAGTCACCGAGTTCTCTTTAATAATGCAGGAGGTCTTTACCAAGAATGCACTTTATGATATGTGAGATCATTACCCAGAATGCATAGCACATAAACTGTTTTATCTTAAAATATTATTTTGTAAAATATGGATATCTTATTATGTGCAAAAGAATGCCTTCCAAATTCTCATCACATATATCTCTCCACAGACACCATGATTGAGTCAGTCAAATACACCCATTTAATTGATAACCTTTGGCGGTTGGAATACAATGCTCAACGTATGACTACTTGATATTTCATCACAGTATGTAATACTAGGATTGCCTTGATCTTCTCCGGGGATCTTCTGCCTTTTATACTGGCATTGTTTAGCTGCTTAGTTTTTTACTCGAGTTAGATATGTATGTGTGAATTTACTTTAAAGAAATTGTTTTCCACCTGTATTATTCCAAAAAGAATGAAAACAAACGTTGAAATGATAAAACAGAAGATATCACTTAGCCTATTATGACTTGGGTGGGGGAGTGTGATTACCTTTTAATAGTACAAAATGTTTGTTTGAAATTGTTGGTCCAATTTACTTGGTAGATACTTAAAGGTTATGTAGACACCCAGCTAGATTACAAATAATCAGTTTATAAAGAGATGCTGCAAAAAACAATTAGCTAGAATACAAAGTATCAATTCAACTACAAACAATCAGGATCATTACACTTAACTAAACTATAAACAATCAGTGTTCATTACACTTAACTAAACTACAAACAATCAGGATCATTACACTTAATTAAACTATAAACAATCAGTGTTCATTACACTTAACTAAACTACAAACAATCAGGATCATTACACTTAACTAAACTACAAACAATCAGGATCATTACACTTAACTAAACTACAAACAATCAGGATCATTACACTTAACTAAACTACAAACAGTCAGTGTTCATCACACTTAACTAAACTACAAACAATCAGTGTTCATTACACTTAACTAAACTACAAACAATCAGGATCATTACACTTAACTTAACTACAAACAATCAGGATCATTACACTTAACTAAACTACAAACAATCAGGATCATTACACTTAACTAAACTACAAACAATCAGTGTTCATCACACTTAACTAAACTACAAACAATCAGTGTTCATTACACTTAACTAAACTACAAACAATCAGGATCATTACACTTAACTTAACTACAAACAATCAGGATCATTACACTTAACTAAACTACAAACAATCAGGATCATTACACTTAACTAAACTACAAACAATCAGTGTTCATGTTAGACTTTGAATAAGTTAACTACAAAAATCATTTCAACTACAGACAATCTGAAGAATGTAATTCTATTTCATGCCCCACGAGAGAACAGGTCGATATATCCTGTTTCCTTCAAACTTGATTTAACATATTTTGAGGGAATGGGGATACATTGGGTTTAATTAATGTATATCAATATTTAAGTGTAGAAACTGTTTATTTTGAAAATCAATGAATGTTCAATTCATTTTTTCTGGGTGAAAGAGTGTAAATTCCTGTAATGCTATTATCAATTATTATTTTGGGACGGTATTGGAGTATTGACTTGACCCCTAAGTGGTCACAGTATTTGCATTTTCTCTAGATTTTTATGACTATATTTTCAAGATAAGATTTATGTTTACTGCTATTTGAAGGGTATTAAAGATCTGGGACTTGCCTTTTAGTTTATTTTTATTGTCAGATGTAAGAGTGAGATTTGATGAAGGATTACATGAAGTGTTAAAAGTCTTTTAGTTCTCACAATCAAATTAGACAATTGTTTGATAGAGGAATGTTTCTCCTGGTATGTTTTTGTTGGGTCACTGGCCTCTAAATTTGTATATTTATTGTGTTATGCTGTTAATCTCTGAGGTCATGGGAGATTTTTGTGATTTGTTGGATCTTCATGTGTTTGTTTTATGTATTGTCATTTCAAAGTTTTAGAATGTTCACGTGATTTTTTTTTTTTTTTTTTTTTCTTGTTGGATGTTGTCATTATTTGGTATTTGTTCATTAAGGTTTGTAGATTATGATTTTTCGTCATCTTTCCAGAATTTCAGCAAGTGTATGGGTTTATTCAACTACTCAGATTTAGGAAATGGGCTTGCACCCATTTGAAACTTCATTTGCACCTCCTTGAAATAAGAACTTGAAAAATTGTCATATTATTTTGGGAACTGTGAAAACTCACTGGGTAGAGTACTGCTATTTCCTCTTCTGGTTTGTATACTCTCCCCAAGAATTATTATAGAAAGAGAGATGGCATAGGGGTGGGGGGTGAGGAGGGAGGGGGTGTTACATAACATTTGATATGTAACAATGCTCAGTACAATGAACATTTGACAATTATGCATTAGAAAACCAAATGAATAACAAAACATGAAAGGATTACCCATTAACATCATATCTTATATTTTGTACTTATCAGTTATAATACAAAATATATCTCTACTGTGCAGATTTAATTAAAGCCAATTTGACAACCAGATTTTTGCATGATCACTTTAAGGTAAGACAAGTTTAATGACTTATGTCTGAGGCAGATGTCTTAAAGTTACCCTACTTGGCTCATCTTAATATAACCCATCATAATATAACAGTTTCTATTATGTCCCTTTTATCACCAATCATAGTAGTTTCCTCACATTGTTAAATGTAGAGACAGCATTAATTGTCAGATGTTGTAATTGTCCTATTGTGCCTTAACACCTTCTCTTAAGCTTTCTTGTATGTAACTTTGGCTGTAACATTGGTCTTACATTCTGTAATACTCTGGAAGATAAATGAGAGAAAATGTATAAATATTCATATTGCTGGAGTTAAGCAATGTTTGAAATGAGAACAATTTTGACGCTTTCTACTTCTGTAGATATTCTAATGAAAGCTCTCAACTGCATCAGAATCAGTTTTGTCCACCAGTTTTGTCATAGTTAAATCTGCTTGATGAGAATTTTCATGACCAATAATAAATGAAATGAAGTCAAATCATCTTTCTCATCCTTGGCCCAAGAGTAATTCATTGCATTACATTACATGATCTGCTATGAAAGCAGTGAAGGACCGATCTTGAAGGATGATCGTTCTCACTTTGCCACTTGTTTTTAAGTCAACACTTTCACCTTTTCACAACCCTAATGGCATTGCATCATGTTGTGACATATATGTCTGTCACTTTCGGTTGTAAAAAGGTGAACGTGTTGACTTAAAAACATGTGGCAAAGTGAGAAAGATGATTTGACTTATATATCTCTTGATGTTAGCAAGTCTTGAAATTAAATTTGTCAAAATGTTTAATGTATCCTCTTACCAGCACTAGATTTCCATCTACAATTTCATATGTTACGATTGTATCAAGACTGGGATGTTTCTGTGTCTCAACAACCTTGGGGCCTTGTTCAGTGACAGTCACCTGCAATACATATTCAATATATATGATGTCAAAATAAACCACTACTTAAAATCACAATTCCAAATGTTCTCAATACGTATATCCTGATTTGGAATTTTTTTCAGAACATTAACTGGCCAAAATAATTAGAAATTGACAAAACTTACATTTCTATTGTTCTGTTGGAAATATACAGGGTGTTAAATAAGGAAAGCTAATTTTTTCTTTTTATCATTTATTTCAAGACATTGTCCAATATTTCTAATAGATATTCAAGAAAAACAATTGTCAAAGCAAATGGAAATACAGTTCTGTATGACAAAAGGTGGATACCTTTGCTTCACGACCATCTGAAGTTTTGTAGTCATATTCACTGTTAAGCTGGAATTTATGCTCCTTCATGCCCTTCGCATTTCCAGTACCAATTATCCAAGAGTCACCATCCTTTCGTATGGTAGCTTTACCACCTGCTGTATCTTTTGCTGCCTTTTCTTGAAATTCAGCTGACAGGTCTGTTGGTTTAACAAAACAGAGAATGTCAATTCTGTATCCTGCTATTGAATTTAACATCATTTTATGATATTTAATCAAGGAGGCAGTCATACAAATGTCTTGACATAGTATGTAGTATTTGTTGAAAACAATAAATGATTGTGTCACTTTCAAGTTTCTTTCATCATTTTCACGATGACACAACACAGTTAGAAATACTCAAACTAGCCCTGATACTCAAACAATATATAAATATAAAAAAACATTTTGTACAAATTTATATTAAAAGATTTATAGTAAAAGATGAAGGGAGAGTCATAATTTAGATTCCACTCACTCATTGCATCCATCAGTTCCTTAAGACCCTCAATGGACACTCCCACCCATTCTCCTACGATTGTTTCCATCTTGTCGTGTTGGTGTCTAGGGTTGTCTGTCTGGTGCGTCCAGTAGAGCTAGTGCCTTGTTTGTGTGGTGACTCACTAGTTATAGGTCTTCTTGAAGACATATTTTTGAACTTTGAAAGACGTTTCCACTTAAGATTATATACGTGGCACAGTAATTCTGATCCTTACATGGTGCACTCAATATCAGAACTAGTACCTAAGTACTATTTAACTTATTGTAATATCATTACTAATAAGAGCTGATATATTGTCATATCTACTGTTCTTGCCTTGTGTCAGCATCTGTGACAATTGTTACACTTTTCCAGATTGTGACATTCTGTCAAGTTGATGTCATGTTCTATATTGATATATTGGTACATGCATAGGTCTGGAAACAAAGATTTATACCTATACAATGTTATTCTGTGCCAATGTCCTCATATTTTTCCAGAGACGACATCAATACAGGGATAAGAAGCTATCTACTGAGTTCAATGGGGCTTTTATATCAATATAAACTGGCCACCACATAATTTTCTTGTTTTCACAAATGAAGTAATAATTCAATTTCTAAGTGTGCACAAATATTATCAATGGTATGGGTCATAGTGACTCTGTTCACTCGAGTTATCTTTATCTGTATTTATAGATAGGTACGAATATATGCTTTAGCGCACGTTAATTACTTACTCATTTCATATTTGTCTGACTTTACGTGATCAATGTCAAATCAGTTGATGTAATTTGTAAAAGAAAAATAATTGTACTTTTGCATTTATACATAATGCATGTAATTTATGCATTATGGTAGATTTGGGCATACCCAGAACCGAACCTTAACCAAAACATCTTTATGCCCCTAAACATTTCTAAATAATATTTTTATCCCTCTTTCCAATATCATTTCTTTTAAAAATATGTGAGCTTAGAGAATTTAAAATATGTGAGGTAAGAGACTTTGTAGGTAAATGTTTGTGGTATAGAACTCATACTGATTGTGAAACATTAGAAATGAAAATATAAGTCATCTAAGTACATAAAAATTTATTTATTTCTTGACTGCATCCAGGCAGGTTGAGGTCATTTTGATCTTGCAGTGTTCAGTGTTATGATGAACAATTCAAAAGTCAGCTCTATTAGTATATATACAGTAGAATACAGTATATATTGAATATTCTTGGCCGAGAAAAAACATTCAGTCTTGGTAGGTGTTCACTTCAGAGGGCAATTTCTACAGAAGTCAGTAGAGAATGAGTAGAAAAAGGGTGTCTACTAGAGACATGTGTTCACTAAGACTGGTAGAAGGTAGATGTGCATATCTCACGAGGGATGAACCCAATATCCAAACCGACCATACATAACTGCTTTATCCTATACCAAGTAGAGTTTTCAGGGGCATATGGCCATTTCAATAGTACAAGGTGTAAAATAATAAACATATCATTGATATGCAAAGTCATTTTATTGCATTTCCACTACTTACCGGAAGCGGGAAGATATGCACCTAAGCGGGAGATATGGCGGGAGATATGGAGGTTCTGGATATGGAAACCTCAAAATCAGGATACAGGATATATCTTACCAACTTATCTCCCTAAAACTCTACTTGGCATTGGATAAATAGGAGTATTACTTCTATATTAGCCTGATGTATTTTTCAATGTTTCGTTCTTGAATGTTTTTAAAGAACAATTAAAATTTCAGAATATAATCAAATTCAAAATCTTACTTCCAACTTCCATCTTCCAGGTGATATTTAAAGACATAATGTCAAGGGATTGGAATGTTATAATAGAGCTAAATACTGTAGATCAATTCTCCATTTCGCTGTTCGCTCTTTGAATCAGAACGTTCGCATATATGGTGCATATATGTACTCAAAAAGGACAAAATTTGATTGGTCAATATTTTTCAACGATGCATTTCGTGTAGCTATTTGTGAGACCCGAAAGTTCTAAATCAAATTAATTACGCAATTTTGTTTTTACACCCGCAAGCTAAATAAAAAAATGACACCATCGGAATTCTTCTTCTTTGTCATTGAATTAATAGTCAGTATACCAGATTTAATCAATAAAAGATTATACAATTAACAACAAAATTCGGAAACGAGTATGTAAGATTTGCTTTCGAACCACTAAACTTGACCTAGATAATAGCGACGTGTCTTCTTTGGTCAAATGCTCAGTTGTTTGTGGGTTTTCAACGTAACTCTATAATGTAATATGAAGATGAGTACTTTGATTCAGTTGTTGCATCGATGTTACAGTTTGTAGTGCGGTAATATTGGCATGAACGTGTTGAAAGTCGAATGGAATTGCTTTTTCCAATATGGCGACTAGTCACGTGACTTCTTCTCTTCCGGAATATACTCCCATTTTCAATCATTGTTTTCACCCCGTTAGGAGCCAATAAAATGAAAAAAAATATATGTTATATAAAGATTATTAAAAGACTAATTGTTTCTGATAGTTTGTTTTCTCCGATCGCATGGAGATTCGATCGAAAATATCGCTTGAAAAATGGGTATGAAAATCCCCATGTTAAACCAACGGGGAAAAACAAGGTAGAAAAATTTTGTTCCCCCGCGAACTGCATCATGGGAAATATTTTGACCTTATAAGGAAAAACTTTCGCGCCATCTTTATTAGAGATTCAATACTACCGAATCCGCGATTTTAAGAATTATATTTAAGTAAGGTCAGTTTTGTGAATGGCAAAATCTATATATTACATTCCAATATTTTGAGATAAAATTGATATGCAGATATCTGAGAGTAGTTTTGTATCCTTTTTTATTTTAATCTTTTAAATTGAACTTTGTTCAATATTATAGTTATGATAATGACTCATATTTGAATTGTATTTGATAAAGTTTGACTGTTTCATCACACACACCAGGTATAGGGAATTGTTGAATGTATATGGGCTGAAACAAGTGGAATTGAATTTAACGTAGTATTTCATTTAATCGCTGGCTTCATTCTAACAAGGTGGTAGCCGTTTACTGTAATTAGCTAAGAAATCAAATGAACTCCATGAAATCAGATTGGAATATACTCAAGCCAAATGTTATAGAACAATCTAGACTATTTCACAGGGTATTTACCTGCATTCAGGTTTAGACCTAATATGATTAAGTGTGATAGACCGAGAGTTTGGTATCTATACCTTCTCTAATTTTAGATACTCTACCAGGAAAGATCAGATTCTCATAATATTTCTTCAATTTCTATATTCAGGTTCTGGGCCTAGTGGAATTTTAACGTGGCCAGGAATGTGTCTATGAGTAAACATCTTGAAGAAATAATTTTGAGTTCCCTTCTTATGAATTCCTTTCAAGTTTCTATTTAGTGCAAAAATTAGGCATTTTTTCTAAAAAACTGCCTGAAATATGAAAAAACTATATGACACTTTGCAAATCCTCTGTTGTTTCTTGTTAGTTGTGAATTCCATCAAGCATAACACAACTGAGATTTGCTATGAAAGGGGAACTTCTACCAGATTAGGATGATATACAGAAGTGTTGTAGAAACAACAAAACACACAGATAGTCAATTTGCTCAAAATTCTCTGGGATCTATGATGCCTTTCTGATTTACCATCTATGAAGATAGTTTTACATATGAAAACCAAAAACTGTTGATGTATTGTTATGGTCATAATCTTTTGTGACTGGTGCTCAAAGTATGGCATCTGTGGTTTGATTTCTGTAACAATTGTTACAGTTTTTGAATGATTGTAAGAAATCTTTTCTAAGCCATTGGTCTATTACCTTATCTTATATTCAAAGCCCATGTCCATCACCAGGGGTTGGATTAGGTGTAAATGCAACACTCTTTCTCTGAGAACTTAAAAAAACAGAAATTGTACAAAATGCTTATTTTCAAGGTAGATGACTTCTGGGACTTAGTAATGCTCAGATCACCAGACAAGCAAATTACAAATACTGTATACTATTGGCATTGGGGCCTAGAACCCCATCTCTCTTCCGATAGATATGTTCTACTAGTGAGTGATATACAGTACACTACAGTGTAGTTGTTCCAAGGAATGCAGACTTCAAACTTGGTATATATCAGAGATTAGTTACTAGGTAGGCATATAATCTCCATGGTGAACACAAATTAACCAGTTGTTGAATATGTCAGAACTATCAGGGACCATCTCATCTCAGTATCAGTTGGATTGTTAAGTAACAGGGTTAAGATACCATATCCATCCCTGCAATGCTTAGAATCTGAAAATCTTTATCAATATGTCATTCAAATGGATTAGTAGTAAATATATTACTTTGTTCGTTTTCTGATTAGTCCTTCTTATTTAAGATGCTGGGGTTTTAGTTTTATTGTTATTTTTGAGATGATCTCATGTTGTCTACCTGTGAATCTTTAGCTGTTCACAATCTTACTTATAGAAGTCAGTCTACTATTATAACCGTTTTAAGAGCTTGATTTCAAACCTTTGAAAGAGAGCTTCATGTACACTTTGAATTAGAGATAATACTTTGATCAGATTATGTTGACCCCCAAATTCAGCCCCCTCCCACATCAGAAATAAACCACTGTATTTCTGGCTTTATAAGCACTGACTTTTACTTCATATTCAAACTGACAGCTACTTTTAGACTCGGTAAGATCATTAAATCAGTTAAATTGAGAATTCTAGTCAGAGTTTAAGTATCCTCAGAGTAACGTTATACTGAATAGTAGTATAAATTCATGGTATACTTATATATTATCAACTTACTTTCTAATAAGTTGTAAGTAGACATAATTTTGTAATATATGAACATATTATATTGCAACATATTATGCACATATCGTATTGTAATATAAGATAATGTATGGTATTGTACATCTTACACAGGTTTTACCATACAAATGCCCTCTTTTTTACACAAAAGGTGTAACAATTCTGTATATTATCCTTCCTTTAGGCCATTCTTGTTTTATGAATATACCTCTCTAGCAATCTCATCTTAAGTGCATCTCTTGTTTAAGTGATTCTGCAGTGGCATCATCTTGCTTGATCTATCATTCACAAAACACAGGGGAAGCTGCAGAATATGTCAGAACTTTGCTGAAAGAGCATATTGACATATTATTAATGTTGATATAATTTGTGATGTTGTGTAATGGTACGTTCACACCAACGGCGCTTTGATGGCGCTTTAAAGCGGCTTGTAAAGCGGCACCAAAGCGTAACAAAGCTTAATTAAAGCGTCGGGGTCGTAATAGGTCGTAGAAAAGCTCGGGAGTAAAGCGGGATATTCGGCAAGAGCGCTAAAAAATTTAAACTGTTTAAGCGTTCGCACCAACGGCGCTTTGATGGCGCTTTAAAGCGGATTGTAAAGCGGCACCAAAGCGTAACAAAGCTTGATTAAAGCGTCGGGATCGTAATAGGTCGTAGAAAAATTCGGAGTAAAGCGGGATATTCGGCAAGAGCGCCAAAAAATGTTAAACTGTTTAAAAATTTTGGGCGCTCTGTTACGAATTGATTGAAGCGCCGAGAGCGTATCAAAGCTTAACAAACCGTAACAAAGCTCAACAAAGCTTGACTCAAAGCGTAGGAAAGCTTAACACAGCTTGGTTCAAAGCGGGGACCCCAGTCTATTCACGGTCTGTTACCACTTGACACGCTTCGTTAAGATGTCTCAAGATTTGCTACGATCTGGCATGAAGATCTGACACGAGGTCAGACGCTTTCATCAATATCTGACACTCTTTGTTACACTTTCCTGAGGGACTCTCAAGCTTTCCAACGAATTGAGACGCTTTAATCAAGGATTGAAACGCTTTGCTAGGCTTTGTTACGCTTGAAAGTTTTCACACGCTATATCACGCCGTGCGACAAACGTCATGTCTTCTTCAGATAGGTCATGCTCTGGTCCATCTGGAATTTCTGGATCTCGTTGTTCTGCCATCGTGTTCTCGAGTCAAAGATGCAATGGTTTTATGGATCTACTGCATCTTTATATAGTCATTGGATCAAAAGCGGCATGGAATCGGCGATCTCGACATTTTCCAATGCGTGACAGAGCTTAACAGAGCGTAACAATGCACAACAGAGTTTTGCAATCATATCAGAGCCTGATTTAAAGCGTCATAATCGCATCAAAGCGTAATAATGCTTATCAAAGCTTTTCAAAGCGTGATTTCAAGCGTAACAAAGCCTGATCAAAGCGGGATCAAAGCGTGAGGAACCTTTTAGAGCTATGTTAAGCTTTCCTACGCTTTGGATCAAGTTTTTCTGAGCTTTGTTACGGTTTGTTAAGCTTTGATACGCTCTCGGCGCTTAATCGATTCGTAACAGAGCGCCCAAAATTTTTTAAGAGTTTAAAATTTTTTGGCGCTCTTGCCGAATATCCCGTTTTACTCTGAGCTTTTCTACGACCTATTACGACCCCGACGCTTTAATCAAACTTTGTTACGCTTTGGTGCCGCTTTACAAGCCGCTCTAAAGCGCCATCAAAGCGCCGTTGGTATGAAGAAAAATGACAAAAATGACGGCGCTTTGCTCGCCGATTTAAAGCGTGGCATTCGCCATTGGTGTGAACGTACCTTAATAGAGTAATAATAATTACGATATAGAAGAAAAATAGCTGTATAACATTCTCTTATGCCTGTAAGACGCTAGACATTTTATCTTAAGTATTTTTAAGAAATCCTTTCACGTTTATTCTATCATAAAACCACTAACAAATTAATTCTTCTGGTGTAAAGGGGGAATAAGATGCCCTGATAAGGCATTATTACCTAATACATGGCTGCATTTCTAAGTGGTTATTAATGGTGATATATTAATCTATAAATTAACCCGCATAAGTAAGGTTTTTATTCAATAATGGATTATTGCATTTATAGTCAGTACGGTCCATTGGTCTATGAATCAAGGGGGTGAAATGAAATTGTGAGGCTATAATTTATAATTGATCATTTTAAGATATATAATAAATCAATTGTCCCTTCCTAGAAGACACTCTCTAAGTTAAATCAGATAATTTGATTTAATAAGTACTTTTACTTGCGTTTTGCTATTAATCTTACGGCATATTGATTTATAACATCCGTAATCTTGTTTGTTTTTAAACAGAACAATATTCCAAGACAAGTATCAATCGTCTTACATCATCGTATTGTGTCAATTGAATCTTGAGGTGTTCTACTTCTTAAACATACCCTATACCCCATATATGTTCCTCCTGGTTTGTGAGATTTGATACAGATTTGGGGGTAAGGAGACTGTGGGCCAAACCCTTTCCTCTGTTGAGTGACATTCTTCTCTTTCCTCAGATGAATTATATTCTTTCTTGACATCTAAAATTAAATAAACAGCTTCTTATACGCAACCATCGTTTCTTTAATTTTTTCAGGTAGTCAGTCGAGTTGCGTCTCAACCGGGGTATGACCTTGAACTTGGCTATAGATTGCTTGCAGTATGTGCTGCCCACAGAGACAAATTCACTTCCAAGTCAGCTGGTAAGTAGTCATTTTATTTCCCATAATGCATCAGTTCATGCTAGCAGACGTATCGGGATGCAATAGTGAGACATTCTCTGAAATCATCCAAGCTTCTTGCCAAAATATGCCTTATTGGTAAATACATGTAGTTTCAATCAATTTGAATAAATGTAATTAAAAAAACATTGTGAGCATAATTTCAACTAAGTGTATTTTTATTTTTTGATTATCCTGTAAAAGGATATGTATAATCTGTATTCAAAAATAAATGAAAATTGTACTCAAGGGTGATTGTTGCGGAAACAGGAGCAGGCTTAAGGAGATGATACATCAAATAGAAAGCATTGGATCAATCTATTATACTTACACTATTCTATCTTCCATCAATATAAGATAGGAAGATATTTATTATTAGGACCAATACCTGTAATCTCATCCTGAATAAATCTGAAATAGTTTAAATTCATAATATGTGACTTCCGCAGTCATTAGATTTGGACATACACCTTTCTGAAAATATTAACGGTGGAAGTAATTCTTTATTTACCTTGTAAGCGGTATTAGAAGTTCCAGCTTGAAAAATCTACCCACACTTTTTAAATTTTAAAAAGAATCCAATTTTCACTTTCAACATGAATGAGGTTCGATAATTAGAGAAAAGAAGGATTTACACTTCATAAATATTTTAGGGTTATTTCAGATGAGAGTTATAGCTTTTAGACTGTATAATATTCATTTTCACAGAATTATTTATTAAAAGAGAGCAGCACTGTATTAATAAGCATTGTAAATAAAACCAAAGCACAGATGTTGTGCCACAGGTAACGCGGAGGTAACGGTTCCAAAGTATGGTAAAATCATGATACATAGAATAGAGGTCATGTTCCACATTAATTTGTATGTTACTTATTTGAAATTGTAGTGTGACATATATAAACAGACTATGTCTATAGTACTTTGTTTATTGATTCATTAATAATTGATGTAATTTACAGCATAGATTTTTCAGCAGATATAATATGCAAGTCATTGTGTCTCCACAAATTGAGTTTGTTTGTAACATGATAGATCGATCAAAAAGAGCAAGAATTAAATGTAAATAGTCGTTAGTTTAACACTTAATCAAATGATAATGGTGGTGCATGAGTTAATTTTCATAATTCTCATATACTTAACATTTGTATGGTGCAGTGCTTTATATTTATTTCTAAATTGGCCTGTAACTGCTAAATGCATCATATTATCAAATGTTTGCTGAGTTCCTTTTACAGAAAGAGAACGATTCAGTTGAAAATATGTAAAGAATAACCAGTGCTATTTGGGAGATTCCCAAATGAATTCATCTTCAAGATTAAAACATACATAAAGGATCCAAGTGCAATGAGGGGAGGTGAGAGAAAGGTTTGTCCTCTAACCAGTGATAATATTTTAATAAAGGCACTGAAATCGTCTTTTATGAAATCACTTTTCTGAAAAACAGTTAAAAATTGTAATTAGCAATATTTTTGAGGAGCAATATGGCTACTGGGACAATGTAAAGAAATAAATAGAGTAAAAAAGGACAACTTTAGTTATTTTGATTGCGGGAAGTAAAGATTAGAACATTCTATAATAGAGTATTATACTGCAATAGCTTTCGTAAATTAAACACATCAATTACTGGATATTTTCTACACCTTTTCAAATAATTTACCACAGCCATTATATTCTACATTGCCTTTCATAAAATAAACAGCAATGCCATTTTCATGGTTAAGACAATAAGCTCATTCTTATTCCATCACTTGTTTTCCAATTTTGTGATTATACATTTGTTTTTCATGTATTTTCATGAAAATATCTGTAAGGGGAAAACAGTGACAGAGATCCAATGCTTCAGCTTAGAAGTCTTTAATATTGCCATAGCAATGTCATTTTCCTCTTGATATATTGATTAGTGTAGCAAATAGGATATGCTTTATTGGTCCACAATGCAAGAGAACATATAAAACACAAGTCAACTTGCATTGATTACATATGAACACAGATTTAATAGACCAATGTATTAATCACTTACTAATATATTAATCAGATTGTACTCATTTAATATGTGATAATGTTTAAGTTACTGTGTAAGATACTCCTCATAAATTCATTGAGAACTACATGTACCATAGTTCCATTCATCAGTTCATATTCATTAGGAATCCAAACTATTCTGTGGTCACAAAAATTTACATCATTCCTTTTATCAGTAATCAATCTGACAAGGAATGATTTTAAAAAATAGTAGTGCCCATATCAGTCTTTTTCATTTACCAAGGCATGTTTAATGGTTTTAACAGATACAACTTATACATACTTTCACAGACTACACTGTGTCTATTCGAAAAATCAAACTATTTTGTTTTTCAGAAGATTGTCAACTTTGTTGAAAAGTAAATGCTCCGCATTCACAGAATCCAGGAATGCGTAGCAATAGGGAGTCTCTTCTACTAACTTGACATTTGAGTAATCTAGCAGCTCTAATATTCTCTTAAAGTGAATCATTGACATTTGAAACATTGATCTTTTTATTACTAATTCATGGATTCTCCTAGTGTAAAGCTCTGTATACTTTGATTATAGAATCCTTTGAAGTTCATGTGCAAATAGTGTACTTATAGGTAATATCATAAAAAGATTTTCAAGCTGAGATTTAAAAATCGTTTGATATTATTAATTATTTGGTTTACAGACCCTTCTCAGTGCTTCTCCCTATTGGTAGGGTTTGGAGTTATTTGAGTATGTATCACTATTTTAATGAAGAATGGGATTCTTGTTGTATTAGTTTATATGCACATAAGGCAGTTGGATAGATAAAACTTCTTTCCTTAGTGAGATCAATTTCATGTCCTACTTCATTGTTTTCATTGTTCCAAGAGACGAAAGATGATGCAAGCTCATTTCTATACTTTAAGGTAGCACACATACTTTAAGGTAGCACACATACTTTAAGGTAGCACATATACTTTAAGCTAGCACACATACTTTAAGGTAGCACATATACTTTGAGGTAGCACACATACTTTGAGGTAGCACACATACTTTAATGTAGCACATATACTTTGAGGTAGCACACATACTTTAAGGTAGCACACATACTTTAATGTAGCACACATACTTTAAGGTAGCACACATACTTTAAGGTAGCACACATACTTTAAGGTAGCACACATACTTTAAGGTAGCACACATACTTTGAGGTATTAAAACAAACACTTTGAGAAAAGTAGTGAAAACACTTGACATGACAAAGATCTCAGGAAGCAACTTATTTGAAAAAGTATAAAACAATCATAAAGCATCATGATGAAGGTAATCCATTAAATCCTTTAGATTTAATTTTCTATCTTGAAAAAAAGTGAATCATATGTCCATTTATTGAAAGAAAATTATGTGCTGTGTAAATTGCAAGTCTTTTGATTAAATCATGAAATTGTTTTTGTCTGAGATGTGACACCAGTTGATTGAGCTGTTATTACTGAGATCGTTATGTGACGTCACCCAGGGGAATGACTGATTTATTTCTAATGGATTTACAACAATATTTTTACTGAGCGAGATGAATTTTGATGTCAAACAGAGAAGAGGAAATTTTATCTTTCAATGAAGTCATTAAAAACTTGTTGTGAAAATGGTTTCTACTTTTTGGATTGACCCATTGAAGAAAGGGGAATGATGATATTGCAAAAGTCTAGACCTCCATCTCCTATCCACTAAGCTACTTTACCCATAGAGGTGTGTAGGGATGGGGTCACAAGAACTTGAAACAATCATTTAGAACAGTCTTTTAAATATACAAAAAGCCAAAATGCCTGAGACTGATTTCTCTGATTTTGCTAGTTTATTAGAGGTAAAGTAGATTGGGAATAAGAAGCCATAGACATGTATTTTGAAACATCTATAAATTGCTAATCTGAAGGTCTATATGTGTGATAATCTTGCGTGATTGGAAATAAAATTTATTGAGCAGGTTAATTGCTCATAAAAAGTGGATGAATACTCCGCTAGATTGAGGATTATATCTGCTGTTATTTCCGTGAAGCTTCAATTATTTCTCGTTTACTTCATTAATTACAAAGAGACCTTGATATATCAACAACAATTTTTCAGGTGTTTTTATGACTTCTCGAATATTTTTCTTGTCCCTAATATGTTTTTATATTACAAGTTTAAGACCATCAACAAAGAAATTGAAAAGCTATTAGTGAGATTTTAGCCTCTTTAGGTCTATGCTTAAGACGAATAGCATTCTTTGTTTAACAGACTGTTACAATTACTTTGATCTCACTAAATTAACTTTATACCAGTCCTTTTCAATTGTTTGTGTTCATCTCAAGATTAACATCAAATGATGATTTTCATGATCCTATTTCAATAGAATTAAGTAGCAAGGATAGCGATAAAAATTAGATAAATCACAAATCCATACAAATCACCTTTTCAAACCACTTAATTAATTGTCATTAGGTTTTTTATTTGTTTGCAATCATAAACAAGTTAAGTATAGGCGTGCGACAAGGATCAGTGGTAAGGGGGTTATTATTTGTGATTCATGAGAGCTCTTCTAAATAGAATAGCGGACAGCAATATTGATACAAAACATCTAATAACAGGTTTAAATAGGCCTGGATTGTAGATCCCATGATGAAGATATAGATATTACCTCTGATAGCATACATTTGCGGGTTAAATGCTACAATTGATTTATTACAAATTGAAGTGTGAATTTTTTGTACTGTTGTATTTTAATGGTCAGGCACGTGCTGGTATAATGCCAATCATTTCTTGGATGCTTTTTCAAAAGGTCATATTTCTTTCGACATAGAATTATGATATGTTGCCCATTTTGACAGGTATAAGAATCCACTATTTTAGATATATGGAAAATCAAAGCAGTTTCTGTTTTGAATCAGAAAACAGAAATATATTTTGCTATTTGTAAGATCATGACATGTGACAGTTTCTCGGTGTTGTACCTCTTCTCCAGGGCTCTA